CTTTAAGATCGCATCGATGAAAGAGCTTGCTAATGGGAGTGGTGAACAGAGGATTAAAATGTTGCAATGTAGTTTATCCTAGTCTAATAATGATGACGTTAATATTTGCAACAAAGAGGGAATCTCAGGTGCATTTCAACTCAACCTTTCAGCCCTAACACAGCAAATATCTTGCATAGCAGGGTGGGGATTAGGAAGGCATCAAGAAAAATGACATTGTCACACAGAAGGCCCGGTTTGTCTTAAGGGGCCAATGATCATTTCAGTAACTGGGCTTCTCAGACCACTTTGCATTACCTTATACATTTAGAAAGTTACTCCCCTGGGAACAGCACCGCTCCATTAAAAGACCACAAGCCCAAGGAAATGGAAAGGAAGAAAACATTTTGGAGGCACATATTAATCAGTGAAAATGGGCCTGAAGTACACTCTAGCACTCTCGAAGGTACGGCACAGGTCCTTTAGTTGCTCGATATGAACTATTAGCCCTCATTATAAAAGCCAAGTGATGCAAAAGCACAGGGAAAACACATCTGATAGACCAGGGGTGTCAAACTCATTTCCATCAAGATCCACATCAGGTTTATGTTTTCTTTCCAAGGGCCTTTGAATCCATGAATGGAGAATCCATGGATACAGAGAACCTACTATAATATTTTTTTTACATAGTGGTAGGTGCTCATTAGTTTTCTGGAAACATTTTTATTCACTCCCAGCTTCTTCTCTCTCTTCACCTTGCTCCCTATTCTTGTGTTAGAATCATTCCAAGCATTTTGAGCTTAAAGCCTAGTATGAAATCCATGGAAGTCCAAATGGGTGTAGAAGCAGAAACAACCCAATTAATCCCACATGTGGGAGAGCCCTCCACTCACAACTGGAGCTGTCTTCATGATGGAGATTAATATGCTTGACCATGTCGCCAGCCTGTGCAAAAGGAGCAGCTGAGCTGCAGCCCATTGCAAGTTGCACTCCAATTCTTCACTATATGCAGAAGAAACTGCTTCAGAATGCACCTCTAAGTACCAGCAAATCTCAGAGCAGCCCCCACGCTAAGATTTATTTGCCTCAAAGTGCTATGTACACAGAGGTGAATGATACCATGGATCTTCAAGTACAAAATCTGTTACAGCACATTTCCAAGTCTTGCTGTACTAGCAACTTGTCCATTTCAGAAAGTATGACCTATGTCAGCCTGCTACCAAAAATAGGACATTGTGTCAGCACTGTGAGTTGTTGTTGTCAGCCCACAGTATTAGGGAATGCTTTAAAGGCATTATAGGACTCAAACCCAGGAGATGACAAAAAAAGGACAACCACACTCAGGCGTTAGATAACCTGCACATAAAGTTTCTTCCTAACATGCTACTGTTTCCATGTTCTAGGGGAGTTTATTTAAACGTGAAAAGGACAACCTCAAAGTATGCAACTCTACTATTCCAAGAAAGCATTCTTTATGGTATTTATGTGTGTGAGAGCCAACCGTCATTTTTTCCCATTGCCTCCTCTCTCATTTTTCCCCTATGTCCTATTTCCCTGCAATATTGGTTGCTTTTAGATCCAGTCATATATACATATTGTTTAAAACCAGTGATGCAATACATATCTTGTATGCAAACAGTCTCCCATTCAACCACCAAATCATAAATTGGCCACAGAAGGTCCCCTTTGGATCTCCTTGAACCTCAGTGAGAACATTTAATGTTGGGATTCAAAGGGAAGATCATGCCAGAACCAATACTAACATCACCACCCGATTAAACCTGAAATAGAGTTGGATTGGGGAAACCCAAACAGCATGAAAGTTATTTAGTTACACCAGTGGCTCCCAACCTTTTTTTAACCAGGGACTACTTTGACTAGGAACTACTCCCCAACATTAGTATCAAAAGGGTTACAAAAATTGCATTGGATAGACCACATCAACTCTAGTTTCTGATACAGAACATATGCCATCCAGAAAACCATATTTAATAAGCCTCGGCACTATTAAGAGGGTTTCGCGAGACCAGTCGCTCTCGTTGCAACGGTGTAGTAACGGTGAGGCCGCAGACCATATTTTAGTTCTTGTGGACCACTGGTGGTCCACCAACCATGGTTCAGGAAGCACTGAGTTACACACACAAAAAAAATTAAATACATGTCAAATGTAATTCGGGCAACTAATGCAGGGTATCCTCATGACTGTAAGGTGCAGCCCACTAAAGAAGGTGAATTTCATGTGGGGCAGAACAAGCCACCAATGCTCAAACATTTGTAACCAGAAAATGAAGTTGTTCTGAGTCTCTTTCAGAAAAAAACAGTATATGAACCAATATAATAATAATAATAATAATAATAATAATAATAATAATAATAGTGATGATGATGACTGCAGAAAAAAGCACTGTTCCCACCAGAGCAGACAGTGTCTAGCTTTGACAGTTGCGCCTGGTGGGCATTGAGACCTCAACTTCTTCATGGGGTCGGATAGAATGAAGATTTTCCTAGAATAACTGAAAAAAACAAACCTGGAACACTGGAGTTCTTTCTGGACTGCCACTGAACAATGAGGAAAGAGGATACATAAATAGTTCAAATAAATAGGAAGGGCTGTCTTGAACACTATTTCGGGAAGACCTGTCTCTTGGGACAATGTTTGGTTTTCCAACCTGCTGGTATGTTCTATTGACTTTTGGGAGAAAAACAGATGGTAAGGTTACTTTCTCCCTTCCTCCTTTCTTTTAAAAATGTGAAAGTTTACTCCCTGAGGATTTACTGCTTTGACATTTATTACAAGCCGGTGGTGTGCAGGAGAAAGAATGTGTTTCCCCTGGTAGATCTCAGAAGGATTAGCAATATATTTTAGTTTGTAACAGCAGTGGTAGCAACAAAATGATCCTCCTCCATATCTTATTTTTTTTACTGCTGAAACAATAGCTAAACACCCAGGGATGGATTGTTGAGTAGAAGGATGGTTTTACTGATCAAACTACACTCTGGTTCTACTCTATGTGTTTTGCATCAGGCTTCGTTATATAGATCTCCAAATTATTCCCCCCCCCCCCCCAGAAAATTCTATTCTAAACTTAACCAAATGTTGCATTTTATTAAGTTTTGGCATTTGGTCCAAAGTGTAGGGTTTCATCTCTGGACTGCACAAGACTTTGTGTCATCAATGCGTAGCTAGACTAGAGACAAGGCTAATCTCGGGGATTCCTTTCCTCCCACATTCCTATGCATGCTTCCTAAAGGGCTTTGTCTTTGTCTTCCCCAACACAAAGTACAGAAAGTTTGCCTTGCTGAAATGTGATCCTCTGCAGTTCCAATGAAGTTTCCCCACACAGGCATACTTTTTCAGAGATCTGCCTCAATTCAAAGAGGAGAAGTTAAAAATATCAATCCATTTCCTTCTTGCATGGATGATCAATCACCAATTTGCTACTGCCCCGTCAGCATTTACAAGACTCGTTATTAGAGGATGCCTGCATATGAGCTTTGGGAGCAGAAGAGATACATGCTGGATTATTTTTGGTCAAAGAGACAAGATAAAAATATAAGACAGTGTAAAAAAGGAGGTCAATCAATTTAGTTGAGTTTAGTGTTTGTGAGATGCTAAACTGTACATAGCCAGAAGTCCAGCAAGGGAATTAAAAGGGCTGCTTCCTACCTTGAAATAGGGATGAGAGAGAAGATTCATGTTGCCTACAGGAATGACTTGTTTCGTGTTACTCATATAATTGTCCTCTGGGTGACAGATGCCAGTGAAGATTCTGGCTGCTGGGAGTAAGCATCCTCCAGAGGACCCCAGTGTCCAAAGGGGCCATGGATTGAATGTACAGGAGAAAGCCATCCTGTAAGGAACCTGGACCCAAACCATGTTGGGCTTTAAAGGTCAAAAGCAACACTTTGTACTTTGCCTGGAAACTAAATGGCAGTCAGTAGAGGGATTGTAATATAGATGTAATGTGCTCACTCTTAGATGTTCCTGTAATTAGTCCGGCTGCCATGTTTTGAACTAGCTGCACTTTTCAAACTTGGTACTGAGATCATCCAATGTAAAGCGCATTGCAGAAGTTGAACATTGAGGCAACCAGCACATGCACTACCATCTTTAGGTCCTCCAGTTCTAGCAAGGGGTTCAAGGGCATCACATCTACCTGGGTTGATATTTGGAGAGACGGATCCAGATGCCCTTATCGTAAGTTGCAGACACAGTCTTTGAAGGGCACTGTAACCCCATCCAGAACTGGTTGACACACCTCCAAACCTAGGTTAGGATATTTGATGGCAAGCACCTCTGTCTTGTCTGGATTCAGTTTCAATGTGCTTTTCCTCATCCAGCTCATTACCTCCTCCAGGCATTCATTCAGAGAAGATATGCTATCCCTAGATGAGGCTGCTTTTGAAGGCATGAAGAGATATATTTGGGTGTCATCAGCATCCTGATACCAAGCTACCCCATGCCTACAGATCATATCTCCCAGTGGTGTCATGTAAATGTTAAAAAGCATTGGGGATAGAATGGCCCCTTGTGAAATGTCATATAACAGATCCTTGTTGAAAAGCAGCTATCCCCAGGCCCCACCATCTGCCTGATAGGTACAACTGGGTATTTCCCATCAGGGGAAAGGATGGCTAATTGACCCAAGAGTCCTCCATCACGTTTCACCAAAAAGTAAGGAGAGAAAACACAGCCTGAGAAAATAGAAGTCTGATGCTTATCACAACTTAATAATCCACAGCATGATCTGGTCTTCTGTATCTCTGCTTGAGCACACCACAAACAAAAAAACAGCCAATTTATCAGTGCAAGCATCAACACTCAAATAACCATGTGGATGTATTCCTGAACATGTACAGTGGGAAGCTCAAATGGTAACAGTGAATATTCTTTGTGCATGCAAACCAGAAACATGGGAGAAAGGCATGACCGGTTGTAGCACCACAATAGTCTTCCTAGCATTCCATCAACTGACTTCCTTCCGCGAGCAAAAATGCACCCTGACCCATCCCAATCTCACCTGAGACATCCCGATGTGTTCTTGAAGACAGTTGTCCACTCAGCATCTCGAGGCTTCGAATCTTCATTGGGCTCATTCTCCCAGCCAGAATGGGGAATGATTACTTCATTAGTCAGTGTCTGAAGACCGTGGTTAATGATCACCATTTTGAGTGGCTCATAGGAGGAAAGATTCCAAAGGGTACCTTTAACAAGAGAAAACAGTGGGTAAGAGTCAGCAAAATCTTTGCATTCAATTATGACGTTCCTTACGATGGATTAAAGAGGTTCAACCAATGAAACTCTCACAGTTTAGTTCAATTATTACAGCAATAACTGGAACAGCATCATAGCAGATCATGGTACATTCCTATTAGATGTAGCACTACTGCTTCCTGATCTTTTAACTATCAGTTTGTAGCAATCTTACTGTGCTAACAACACTGTTCACGTCTAAGTATTGGGGTAGGCGTTTACACTCTTTTAGCATGGCTTTCACAGATAATTACCCAGGTTGAGTAATTGAGGAACAAGCAAAGCAAATTCATATCTGGGGTAAACCTGAGTAGAACCAGCAATTTCCTAAACCAGTTTCAGGGGAGCCTATGATCTTGCAGATATTGCTGGACTCCAGAGAGGATGACCAATAGTCAGAAAAGATGGGATTCATAGACAACAACCCCAACATCCCAGGAGGAGTTGCACTGCTTATTCCTGTGCTGTGTGCTTGAAGGAAAGTATTTGTGGGTTTTAATTGTGCAAACATTAGGGTTCCAGAAGCTGAACTATGTAAAATATCTTCCCCCCACTGGCTCACAGTTTGCCCATGGTGAATGCTTTGGGCCTATGATCTTAGCTTTCAGTTTTTGAAGTAAAGGTCTTAATAGGTCTCACTAATGAGGGTAAAGGACTGAAAGCATCTGGATAACACATGGTGAACTCTTCAATTCGGACCTGCAAAATACACAGTGCGGTGTGGGATACCTCAGTTCAGTGTTCCAGTTACTCCATTCCTCTCTCTACCAGTTTACCACCATCTTTCCCTACCACAGAACCAGTCAGTAGTCCAGGGCCATTGAAAACATTTATTTCTCATGGTACTGGTTTTAACAGTTTGACTCATTAAATATTTGTCTGCAATGAATTGGGAAGCACATTTCTCATCTGTAAGATATTTTATTTATTTATTTATTATCTTTATTTATACCCATGGGGACTCAAGGTGGTATGGTATTGTGCTTATAGCATGGGTGAGTTCTTTGAGCTTGCAGAGGCTCTTTGTTGGACTTTTCTTCCCACAATCCCTCTCCAATTGTTATGCTAGCCAGGTCCAATTGGAGTTTAAATCCAACAATATCTGCAGGATCCAACACTGGCTTGCCTGACCTCAATTTGAAGTCCATACTAAGCCACAGAACCAACTTGGTGACTTTGGACATGGCGCCCTCTCAGCCTGACCTATCTCACAGGGTTGTGGGAAGGAGGAAAGCCATATATGTTATCTTGTGGTCACAGTTGGAAAGAATATAACAAACAAACAAACAAATATTTGGAACATAGTTCCCTAAACAGGAATAAAAAGTTTAATTTAAAACCCAAAAGTTAGGGCTAGACAATGTCCCGCAAAATAATTCAGAGCACAGATCGATCTTCCCTGCCTCAGGCTAACTCAAAACATAGGTACATTGATGAATCCTTCTAGCACCTTAATTTTCATTGGTTTTTTGGCATTACTCTTGCCAGTTCAGCTCACTTTCAGATGCACCATCATTGTGGCTACCATTCATAAAACTGTCCACAAGGAATATTTACAGTTTGTGGACTTCCGTACCCGAAAGCAGAATCTTGGAAGTTGGTATTGGCTCCCTAAATTCTCCACTGGCTGGGGAATTCTGGGAGCTCTAGCCTAAAAAGTAACTTTCCCCAGATCTGCTTATAGCATAGGTGAGTCAGAGCTGTTATATTCCATTACAACTCAAGAGACACTCGAGGCTCTTTCAGAGGTCACTTTGAAGAGAGGAGTGTTTCAAATAATCGGAGGTCTGTTCATCATCTTGGCCTCTGAGGTTATGTCTGAAGTGCCATTTAAGTATCGGGTAGTTGGAGATAAAATTCCTGGCGGGACATGCTGCCTACCTAACAATGCCCCTAAAAGGATTGCAGCAGGAGCACAGGTGCCCTTGGATGTGCAAAGCCATTGATTTGCTGTGAGAAAGGCACTGAGCATAAATTCCAGACCACATAAGGGATGGCGTGGTCCCGTTGTACTTTTCTCCCCGCCTGGTTCACACAGGGCTGAGTTCTCCCTGAAAAACTCCTTCACCAATGTATTTCAGCAGTGCTGAAAATTGTGCCTAATGTTCGCCACTATAAATATTGGCAGCTACTGCTTGTTAAATAGAAAATGCCTGCCAAAACTGAGGTTTTTGCCAATTGGGAGGATCTCTGAAACGGATCCTTTGATGGCTTCATGGATTTCCATGACCGTTCTATAGAACCAAGAATGGGAACATGGATCAGAACTCCTATAATGTCCTACTCAGGGCTATGATGGGAAGATTCAGTCTAAACATTACATTTATTAATGTTTGATATTGCTTGTTTTTCGATGCTTATTTTAACCTGTTTTTTTGGGCATGTCTCTCTGTAAGCCACCCGAGTCCCTTTGGGGAGATGGAGGCGGGACATAAAAATTAAGTTCTTTATTTATTTATTTATTATTACTGCAGTCCAAAAAGACTGGAAAACCACGCAATCCCAATCCCAGCTGTCAAAAGCTTTAGGGAGGGTCCCTAGTGATGCAATGGTTTTAACCACTAGTTGACAACACATTCTCATGTTATTTCTCCCTAAAGAAAAGAATGGAGGACATTGCCCTTTTTTAAACTTTAAATGTACTTTATGATAACTATCTGCTGCTTTTTCCATAATGTAACTATTACATTGAGTTTCGTGATGTAAATATTTGCTGTATACCACATGGTGTTTTTGTTACTTTTAGGTTTGTTTCAGGTTAAGAACTCTTTCGTTTGGTGTATAATTGTTTTTATAATATCATCATATGGACGTTCATTTCTTCCTTTGCTTGGACTGTTTTTCCCCATGTTTTGTTAGTGTCTGGTGTTCTTTTGAGACCCTCCTGTAGTTTTGTAGTGTGATGCTCCTCTGTTAGCCTGCACTTTTCGACCTTGCCATAAATGTAATGCTGCATGAAATAAGTCAAAGCCCTCAATAGAAACTTCTTCGCCCGTAACACTCTCACCTCCTGTCTGATTCTCCAGATTCTTGTGACTAGCAAGGACATTAATCGCTGTATTTGTTCCTTGATACACTTAGAGCTTTGGAGCGTACATGCTCTTTTGGAATGACAGTAATGATACTAATAAGGATTTTTCTTTTTTGTCTCTCAGATTACAGGCTACTCCATTACAGGCTTTGGAAAGTTCAAGAAACAAAACAATAAACCACCCCATGGCAAAATGTAATAGCTCTGGTAGGGCAGTACTTGTCCTAGCTCTTTTTTTATTCATTAAAAAACAGATTCATGGCAAATGGTTAAAACTCAGGGGCACTGTTAGAAACCTGTCATAAAGCATCTATTCCCAAAGACCTATAAGCATCTTATAGGTCTCTGGGAATTATTCAACAAAACGGGATTCTGGGACACTAAAATGCCCTGTTAGGTAGGATGAGGGGCAAGAGTTTGAAATAGAAAGTACTACATACAGTACACTGCGGTCTTTTAGCCTCTGCCCTAAGCCACCCACCCGTCATAAAGCACCAGCACCCCCTGGTTTCTTTTTCCAGCTGACATTTTGAAAATTCTGTGACAACTGAACATTCTGACTTCATATTGAGTTTCTTGTGAAAAATTTTCTGCACTTCAGCATACCATGAGGATCTCCAAGCATGCTAGATGAAAGATTTCTCACTCACCTGGCTTAGAATCATAGAATAGAATCATAGAGTTGGAAGATACCTCATGGGCCATCCAGTCCCACCCCCGCCAAGAAGCAGGAATATTGTACTCAAAGCACCTCTGACAGATGGCCATCCAGCATCTGTTTAAAAGCTTCCAAAGAAGGAGCCTCCATCACACTCTGGGACAGAGAGAGAGTTCCACTGCTGAACGGCTCTCATGGTCAGGAAGTTCTTCCTCATGTTCAGATGGAATCTCCTTTCTTGTAGTTTGAAGCCATTGTTCCGCGTCCTAGTCTCCAGGGCAGCAGAAAACAAACTTGCTCCCTCCTCTCTGTGACTTCCTCTCAGATATTTATGCATGGCTATCATGTCTCCTCTCAGCCTTCTCTTCTTCAGGCTAAACATGCCCAGCTCTTTAAGCCACTCTTCATAGGGCTTGTTCTCCAGAACCTTGATCATTTTAGTAGCCCTTCTCTGGACACATTTCAGCTTGTCAATATCTCTCTTCAATTGCGGTGCCCAGAATTGGACACAATATTCCAGGTGTGGTCTAACCAAAATAGAGGGGTAGCATGACTTCCCTGGATCTAGACACTAGACTCCTATTAATGCAGGGCAAAATCCCATTGGCTTTTTTTGCTGCCACATCACATTGTTGGCTCATGTTTAACTTGTTGTCCACAAGGACCCCAAGATCTTTTTCACACGTACTGCTCTCGAGCCATGCATCCCCCATTCTGTATTTTTGCATTTCATTTTTTCTGCCTAAGTGGATAAGTGCCTAAGTATCTTGCATTTGTCCCTGTTCAACTTCATTTTGTTAGTTTTGGCCCATCTCTCCAATCTGTCAAGATCATTTTGAATTCTGCTCCTGTCCTCTGGAGTATTGACTATCCCTCCCAATTTGGTGTCATCTGCAAACTTGATGATCATGCCTTCTAATCCTTCATCTAAGTCATTAATAAAGATGTTGAACAGCACCAGTCCCAGGAGGGAACCCTGCGGCACTCCGCTCGTCACCTCTTTCCAGGATGAAGAAAAAGCACTGGTGAGCACCCTCTGGGTTCGTCCATTTAACCAATTACAGATCCATCTAACCGTAGTTTTGCCTATCCCACATTGGACTAGTTTGTTTGCCAGAAGGTCATGGGGGACCTTGTCGAAGGCCTTACTGAAGTCCAGGTACGCTACATCCATGGCATTCCCCACATCTATCCAGCTTGTAACTCTATTGAAAAAAGAGATCAGATTAGTCTGGCATGACTAGTTTATGATAAATCCATGTTGACTATTAGCTATGACCACTTCTCGGTTTTGGCTTCATGCCCACTAACAGAGTCCACTATGAGGAATGATACACTTCCAAATATCTGTAATTGAGCACAAGCTCTTGGGCAGATTATTCAGCTCAAACCTATCTTCATCACAGCTTCTGAGATCTTGAAGATAATGAGGAAGTTCCAAACATTCAATGGGGATCATAAAATGAAGAAGGGGTGTCCATGCTATTGGCTAGGATGTCATCGGGGAAACCAGCTTTTTGTGGAACCCCAATTATGATGGATCCCCATCTGTGCTGGAACTCTCAAAGGATCCTGCATTTGTACTACTAGCATTTTTCCAAATGAAACAGAGAGTGTTTGATGACTGGGACATTTGTAGGATTCCAAGATGCTTGCTTATAAAGTTACTGTCCTTCCAACTCTATTGTACACCCGAGAAACATGAATCTTCCACAAACATCGTTTTCAACTTCTGGAACAATTTCATCAGTGTTGCTTCTGAAAAATCCTGCAAATCTCTTGGGAAGAAGACAGATGGACAAATATCAGCCTTCTGGAAGAAGAAGCAAAGACCACTAGCACTGATGTGATGATCCTACGCCATCCAAGTTCTTTGGACCAAATGCCCTGTTGTCTGAATGCCCAAAGATCACCATCTCCCAAAGCAGTTAATTTACTCTCAGCTCAAGAATGGAAATTGGAATGTCGGTGGACAGCAAAAGAGATTTAAAGATAAGCTGAAAGCTAACCTTAAAACATGTGGTATAAACACAGAGAACTTGGAAGCCCTGGCCTTCAAGCGTCCTAACTGGAGGTCAGTTGTGGATCCAGAATCAATCTACAGGCAATCCCTCCTGGCCAAGTCTGATTGTCTTTCAAGGGTAGAGTCTTGCCGCTGGGTCCAAGACTGTAGAGACAGATTCTGAATCTGAATGTCTTTCACAATGAAGACAGGTGGGAAGGCGATCATGAGAAGAGCTTGCTTGACATTCCTCCTTCTTGGTACATTTCTCCCTTTCTCCCTCTATTTGTGCCTCCTCAAAATCCATGGCACTGTTGGTAACAGCTAACCTTCAGTGAGAGAGCTTTGTTCAAGGACAAGTAGCCTTCGCCTTTATTTGAAGCTGAGAGAGTATGTATTGCCCAGTGGGTTTCATGGCTAAGGTGGAATTTGAATCCTGGCCTCCAGAGTCATGCTCCAGCACTCTAACCACTGCACTATGCTGGCTCACTGTTCTAATGCAAAATATTTTAGAGTGGGTTGGTCTGGATAGGGAAGTTGATACCCATTAGTTTCATAAAGAATTTGTAAAACATTTGTTTCAGGTGGAACTGAAAACTGGTTCAACACAATAGCATTTTTGGACCTTCTTTAAGGGCATGAATAGATGGGTTTCAACATTTACCTCTACATTAATTCTTCTAGTGCAAATTAGGAGAGGTTGGTCAATTGCTGCATCTATTGAAGCAGTGGTGCACCACTATCCTACTTTTTACTGTAATATATGAGAGTTTAATAAACTAGGGATCATTTCCTCCATACAGAATGCAAACATGCTCATTATGTATTGGAGGGAGCAACAAACCACGCAAAGTCTAAGAATGTGCAACATAGCATCCAGAATACCACAGACAATGACACTGTGATCCTGGCAGTGCCTTAAAGCTGCCTTAAAAATCAAACTCAGTTAAACATCCCTGCGAAGAGAACTTTATCCATTAACATTTTCCCCAATGGAAAAGAGAGCTCATCTAATAGAATTCTCTCTTGTTAGCGGATTGTGTAGATTTAGAGAAGGTTGGGTTTAAGGGTTGGTTTTTATTTTATTTTATTTTGCCTTGTCTTTCTAAACATTATCTTGATCACACATGTTAATTTGCAAGAGAAGTGCCAAAGGGTTTCTCACACCAGTCGGGGGCAGAGTCTTTTGATTCCTTCACAAAGCGTGATCCCAAACGGCTGAAGATTTCCAGCTCCACATATTTTTAAACCAGCTATTGTAAACATCAAACACCGGCTTCAGCATTAAGGTTTATTCTTTTCAAAGAAGATTATGATTGCTCTGCATGGTTAGGAAAGGAGGAGAATCTGTATTAAATTCTGGCTTTGCAAACAATTAAAGCTGCAGGCCCAGTGGCCAGGGGGAGGCTTATGTTGACGTTTGGTATCATAATATTTTAATAGGCCTAAAACAGTGATAGTTATTCAAAAGATAATCTTTATGCTTTTTTCTCTCCTGAAGAAAAAGAAATGACTAGTACTGTTTGCAGGTTGTAGGGAAGGGGAAGGTCGGATGGAGAGAACAGAAGCGTTTGCCTCACTTATCAGCAGTGTTCAAACTCCCAGCTTCCTGCACACCACCATGAGCCACAAGGAGAGGCAGGTAACAAATACATTATTATTGGTATCATCATCATCACCATCACCATCATCATCATCATCATTTTTCCTCTCACTCCTATCCTCATCCTGAATTGGTTTCCCAAAGATGCCAGAGTTAAGACATTATTCCATGTCTCTTATTCGTACTAGCTTCCTGAGATACCAGATTGAGTTCATTACATAAAACTACTTACTCCAACCTTCACTCTGATATCGCTCTGTAAAAATTTCAGAGTAGAGACATCTGTTTTCTCTCCCTTATGTTTACTCTGACTTGGCATATTACGTATTATGTATACTCATATATAAGGCTAGAAATTTTAGTTTAAAAAAATCAGTACCAAAAACCTGGGTTAGCTTATTTACGGCTCAATGTATATACTGTACTTTATCTCTTATCAAAAAGGAACTAGGCCATTTTCTGAATTGAGAAAGCTCAATCCATCCTGGGAGAATCTAAAGCAGTGATTCCCAACCTTTGGTCCTCCTGTTGTTTTGGACTTAAACATCTGGAGGACCAAAGGTTAGGAACCACTGATCTAAAGGAAGCACTGATCTCCAATACTGTGGAAAAAATAAATGGGGTCATTTTTCCTCCCTCTCCCATAATACTAAGATCCTGATTTGTCCAATTAAATCCATTGCTGGGATATTCAAAGCAGAAAAAACATTTCTTTACACTGGTCATGAATTGCCACCAAATGAAACAGTTTAATGGATGGATCAGACAAGTTTGTGGAGGCTAGATATGGCTTTTCATTATGACAGCTATATGTTGTTTTCCAATATCTCAATATCAATTCCTATATAATATGAGCGAGAAGGTACTGTTTCTTTCATGGCTGACTTGCAAGATTCCCTAGATGTATTTGACTGGTCACCATTGGAACAGAATTCTGGTTTTGGTTTAATCTGGCACATATCTTTTGATTGAAAAACCAAACATCTCCATCATTACAACATAGGCAGTAAAACTAAGAAAAAGACCACCTTGACAAAGAAGTTGCTACTAGTAAGAATACAGACACTGACCTGTAATGAGCTCCCGCACTTCCATGTCATTTGTCTTCCGCAATAACCTGATCAAAGCTGGGATCCCATCACAATTCTTTATTGCCACTTTGTTCTCATTATCCTTCCCATACGATATGTTTCTGAGAGCTCCACATGCTTTGCGGTGCACCTCCGGCTTTGGATGGTCTAGCAGGCTCACCAGGATTGGGATCCCCTTGAGATGCCGCACATCCTTCTTAATTTTATCGTTCTCGTAGCAGAGGTGCTGGAGGTACGCTGCTGCATTGGACTTGACGGGATCAATGGGGTGGCTGAGCATGGCAATGACTTCGGGGAGGTCGGGGTCCCGCCACCGGGGGTCTTTGCGGATGCTATCGATCGAAGGTGAGCGCTTGCCCAGGCGGTCAATGCTCGCCATGCTCCCTCTTTCAGGCTGTGCCAGAGGCGCTGCGTAACTGCCATGCAAGTATGGGATTCTCTCGTCAACAATCTCAGTCTCAATAGGGTCATCATAGCCCCTGCTAAGAGAGCAAGAAGAAGAAAAACATTAGATTGCACTCTCACTTCAGAATTTCAAAATAGTATTCTGGACTTTAGGAATGCTGCTCCTCCCTTTCATCTTCAAGGCCAATTTGATCTGTCTCACTGTTCATGCAAACTGCAGTTCGTAAGAAGTTTTCACAAGTAAATGGCATATTGGCTTGCTAACATCCCAGTTTCCTTACAAGGAAGAAGTGACACCTGCCCAAGTATCTGGTTCTATTGGTCATCAATTTAAATTTCACACAATGCCTCAGATGGTGGCGGATTCTCTTTCTATAGAGGTTTTAAAATAAATGCTGGATGGCCATCTGTCGGGGGTGCTTTGATTCTATGTTCCTGCTGGCAAAAAGGGGTTGGACTGGATGGCCCCTGAGGTTTCTTTCCATTCTATGATTCAAGACAGTGTTGGGTAGCTTTGTCACTTTTGACAGTATTTATTAATTTTCTACTTCTTTTGACTGGATTTTAACTTTTCTGTCTTTCTCCACACAGATCTTAGCCATGTTATTTAATGAAAGAAGATGTTGAGCAACCATTAAGAAATATTTCAAGACTCAAATAGGAGGAGGAAATACAGTCTGTAAGCCAAGGCTGAAAAGACAGCTCTTATTTTCAGGTACTCAAGTCTGAATATATGTGTACGTGCCTTCAAATTGTGTGTTTACTTATGGTTACCGCATACATTCCTTTGGGGTTTCCTAGACAAGGAACCCTAAGTGCTGGTTCTGCCAGTTCCTTTCTCTGAAATACAGCTTGCATCTCCTGGTATTTATTGGCCACTTTCCATCCAAGCTCTAACCTGGGGTGATCATGCATAGCTTCCAAAATCAGACATGATCTGGTAGCTTTAGGTTATTTAGGCAGGTCGATACTTGGGATTTTTCTCTCTCTCCCCATTGCCTAAGAAATGGAATCCAATGAACTCTTTATAAGGAACTAGTAATTATGCTGAATGCTTGTGGGGGGGGGGGGGGGGGGGGGGGGGGAGCAATGGGGTGTCCAATTGGCAATGGCCTCCAGTTCAAGGGTATTCTTACATGACCAAGGATACCTGGATCATGGATGGAGAGCTATCACACTAGATAAATTCAAGACGGTGCATAGATGTGGTATCAGTGGCCCATCTAACTCAGTATTTTGACTTCTGGCTGGCAGATATTCTCTAGCTATAGCTCTTTCCCAAACCTAGCAGTTGTATCTTTGAATTGGAAATTCCTAAGGAGAGAAACCAGGACCTTATGCATGGAGAGCATGTGCTGTTTCATTGAGTTAGGGTCCTTCCCTTGATTATAAAACATTTCACACTTTTGCCACACATCTATAGTCACAATTTCTACAATGAATTCTCAATGCCATGCACCCAGGCCTTCTGTCTGTCACTTACTCCCTTTTTTCTGAGGCTACCTCTGAGCCCCAGTTGCCCATGGGCTCATTCCCTCACCTTCAATTATTTCAGCTCCTGATTAACCCCTGGATCGTGTGTAAACAAATCAGAGCCAGAACCAAATCAAGGCATTATCGTCTCAGGATAACTAATCCTCTAAATGAGCCTCTTGTGGCACAACTGACACAAGTGTTATCAAACACTTCCACTATAGGATTACTTTAAGATGAAATGATAAATAGGGAGCCCGAGGAACTTGGGGAAGATGGGGGAAGTCAAAAATGAAAGAAGGAAGGGAAGGAAAAATACAGAGACATGTTCATTGATGTACCTCTTGAAATATGTATAATTCATTAGTTTTCAGGGCTTCAATTTACAGTGTCTCATCAGCTATTACGTCTGATTTTATGCAGGAGAACTGTTTCCACTCCTCAGTATAAAAGAAGATAACAACATTGCATTCATATCAATATTTGTCTGTGTAAGACACAATAATAATGAATGCCTAAAGGCCATTTCCAACTTCAGGATTTGGCTTGGTCTCCTCATACACAACATAAGCATGTGATTCACTTTTGCTCCTAATGCTGTTCTTCTCAGTTCCAAATGGCCAGAATGGGGTCTTCTAATACCAAAATGAGCTCCTTTTAAGTTTCAAGGGATGTTTAGAGTTGCAAAGTATCCTTCAGTGATGGGACAAGTATGGAAGAGGCTCAGAAAACCAAACAATATCCTCCTTGGAGCAAGGAAATATCAACATTTATTCCATACTGAATTCAACAACCAGTGACACCAGTGGAAACAGAATGCTCGTCCCCACCAGGACCCCAGGCTGAGTTCGTCCAAGCCAGAGCTTCTTGACTTTTGATCCTCCAGACATTTTGGCTTTCAGGTCCCAGAAGTAGCAGACAGCTTTCACAAAGGTCAGTAATCCCTTGTGCTGAAGTCCTAAATATTTGGAAGACCAAGATTTGAGAACCACTTTGGTCCTCAAGATATTTGGAACTCCTAAGCCACCCACTTACTCTCATCTGTTTATTAGATTTCTCCTCCAGAAATGGAGGTAGAGCAGAGGAAGACAAGGAAGGATCCCTTTCCTCACATTCAGCATTTTATTCACAAATATAGCACTGTGCCTCCAAATATCAGCTGTTGGTGGACATAAGCGGGGGGGGGGGGCTATGGTATGAGGGCCAGTCCTACCATTAGACAGAATAAGGCAATGGTCTGAAGCGGTAAGTGCAGAGTTGTAAAAGAGTTGTGTCTGCCCCACAACCCATCCTAGAGTTCCTAAGATAGACTGCTGCTTTGGATCTGGCAGAGGATCTGGCAGAGGATCCAAAGCCTCTTTGTCAGTACTGAAAAAAAGATTCTGCTGCCAATAGATGGACTGGAGAGGGGAGCCCAGAATTGGAAGCAAAATGTCCCTATATTGTATTCAGGGCAGGATACTCAATGGTTCAATTGATGTAATTGTTCCGGGTCATTCACTGGCTATGGATCCAGTGTTGGGGCAAAAGATGCAGCTTCTTTCTTCTTCTTTCCTCAACCTGTCATTCATGTGCTCCTTAAATAAATAAAAATCCCTATGATCAGGCAACTAGTTGCAGATGCGGCAGGGCTGGAAACAGATTCACACATGAAAATGTCTGTGCCGTGTTCTCTTTTTCTTTTCTTTTTCCTGATTATTATTTATCTATTACTTAGAATATGCCACCAATGCAGACAAAAGGATCCTTGCTTTGCAACTGGACCTCAACACCTTAATCCAGCATTCATGTCATGTTGCACTCATGTCCTCTTTGTAGAGCAACAGGACTCCAGTTGCCTACTGTGGGCACTGAATTCTGCATTGGAAAGATATTTGTTCTGATCTAGAAAGGCTCAGGTTTGTAAACAACATGGCAGGTGGAGGGAAGGGGGGGGCTTCTTTCCTCTCAGCGAGTACCTCAGACAGCTTACAACATGAGTTAAAGCAGAATACAGCTAAAGCCAATCATGCATGCCCCTCATACTCTAAATTCCGCCCTGCTGAGTAGTTGGATGTGAGACCACCAATTAATCCAAGGTGCTGTAGGCTATATTTCAAAGAAGGCACTGGCAAAACCACCTCTCAGCTTTCCTTTCTTAAGAAAACCCTCTGAAATGGGGCACCATAACTTGATAGGGGACTAAGAGGAACACACAACTTAGAACATGCTGAAATGTTTCCCTCATTTGAATGCAGAGATTTGACAAGTTAACTTTTTTACTATAGTTCCCAGAATCCCCAAGCTGGCATGAGGATTCCTTGGAATTATAGTATTTAAAAGTAACGTGTCCAAGCTTTCGAAGTGTGCAAACATATGGAAGAATAAATGAAACATGGCCATCAACTCTAGCTTGTCAAATGCATACATGTAAAAAAATCAAGAAGAACCTCCTTCCTCACAACCATCAATTGTGCACCTACCAGCGACACCTTTTGACCATCCAGACCTGGCTTGGAGGAAGCCGATAGCCATGTCGGTAGCTCCCCATCGTCAGGCCAGGAGCAGCATGTTGACAAGGGAACCCATCGCTCTTGGAGACGCAAGTGATGCTAGCTTAGGAGTACCCAGAGCAACTATAACCCACTGCATTGCGATGAAATTGTACCTAAGGCTGTTTTTGTTTGGACTTTGCTCTCACCAAGGAAAGCCTCTGTCAATGAGCCCATTATTGCAAAACAAACAGGATTACAGGCCACATAGCCATCCAATTAGTTCTTATAGGCACTCACCTTCAAAGAAGATTAGGCCTCTGAAACAATTTCCCAAGAAGCTACAAAAACACAAGCGCAACAAAGAAGGAGGCTTTGAGTTCTCAACGTAGCCTTCCCTTTCCAAACACATTAACAGTCTACATGGAAAGTGTGTATAAGGTTTAAATGTGCAATTAACCTTCTAAAGAGGCCATATGGGTTCAAATTATTACCATTATCATCATTATCATCATCATCATCATCATCATCTCCCTGGATCAAGACCCAAAGCAGCTCGCAACCTGAAAAACTATACAATTTTAAAACTTTAGGATAGCGAATGGTATAAACAGACAACGGCTCTCGCATACTAGTACCCATAGTGCATGGAACCTCAAGTTCTGCAGCTGGCTATGGCCCTTGTGAACTCAGGCGTTTCCCTTTCTTGTGGCTACATTTACTTGTTTCTTCTCATTCTGAAATGACACTGTTAAGGTTGTGGGCAGTAAGAGTTTTGTGTTAACATATTAAAATATCACCTATTTTTGGTCTTGCCCATCACTACAATGCAGGCTTTGGGAAACTCTCTGAAACTAAAACTGGCCCTTGCACTCATGGAGGTTTACCACACTTATCATAATAGTTTAGGATGGTTTTTGAATATTTCTGCAATTTAAGTTGGGATGGAGCTGACATTTGCTATTCCCAAGCTCAGTCAGTCCTTCTTCAGTTCCTCCATAGCTGAAGAAAATGGGACACTTTTCCTTTTGCAGCCACTTATCCAAAGAATTCCTGGGAGTGAGGGGAGTATATTTTGGTTATTGTGCCCTTGAAGTGGGCTTAGATACTTCCAGAGGTATTGGGGCAGAAGG